CCTGCGCCAACTCCAGCTCCAACCCCTGCGCCTACTCCTGCTCCTACTCCAGCTCCTACCCCTGCACCCACTCCGGCACCAACCCCTGCACCCACTCCAGCTCCAACCCCTGCACCCACTCCGGCACCAACCCCGGCGCCTACTCCAGCTCCAACCCCTGCACCAACTCCTGCACCCACTCCGGCACCTACACCTGCGCCTACTCCCGCACCCACTCCTGAACCCACTCCTGCTCCAACTCCAGCTCCTACTCCAGCTTCTGCTCAATGCGGTCCGATTTTGGCTAACACTGACTTTATTGGGAATGACATTGTCATTCTCCAGCGCGACACCACTGCTCTTTGCTGCTCAGAGTGTTTGGCGACGTCTGGGTGCAAAGCGTTTGTGTGGGTGCTGCGTGACGGGGTCGGTACGTGCATCCTCAAGAGCGCGGCAGGGTCTGCGTCGACTTTCGCTGGTGCGAGTGCGTCCATCATGGTGTTCCCGACTCCTGCACCGACGCCATCTCCGTGTCCGGTCGTCGAATACGACGTCGACTATGTCGGCAACGACATTTTGTTCACCTCTCGCACCGACTACCGAGACTGCTGCGGCGATTGCCAAGCTACCGTGGGTTGTTCGCTGTACGTATGGGGACCCGATGACGGGGGCCGATGCTACTTGAAGAGCAAGAAGGGCGCGGCGTCCGCGTACACTGGTGGTCGCGCGGGTGTGCTGCCCATTGCTGCTCCGGTCATGCCCATCTCGAACGTCAAGGCCGACGTGTACGGAGTCAACTCGTTGCCACCCACAGCATTCAACTACATCGTGGGCGCGCAGTGGATTGACCAAACCACGCTGACTGCCGTGAACACTCAAGTGGAATCGTTTGTGGCGATCAACATGGCCAACAACTTTTCCCACGCGTCTGGCTCCGTTGAGACCATTGAAATGGAACTCGGTTTGACTACCTACATCAACGTGACGTCCGCTGGCGAGTGCGCCGACATGACGGCCACGTACAAGAACAACTTTTTCACGTACTGGCCGACCAAACTGTACTGCTTGGTGCACGAGCACACGACCGCGACAACGCTGCAAATGATTACAGCGACCGGGCAAGCCATCACGTTTCCCCAAGACTCGGACCCGGCATACCTCAGTGCGGCTCTCAACAACGTCGCCACCAACGCCGATTGCGTCCAGGCGTGCAGAGTCAAAGGCAACTGCGCTGGTGTCGAGTACGTCAGTGCGACGAAGACGTGCAGCTTATACAAACCACAACCCGCGACGTTCTCGGACGTTGTCGCGGGGTGGGTGTACGATCCCGTGTCGAACGTAGACAGCGGCGGCATCCAGTACTCGCAGATGACCATGTCGGCGCTTCCCGCCGCGTATGTCAAGGAGTCGATCCCCGCGGTCGCCTCGCTGCAAGCATGTGCGTCGTCGGCCAAGACCAAGGCGAACACGCTGTTTGGCTACAACGCCAACTCCAAAGTGTGCGTGATGTACGCGCCGACTGCCAGCGCTAC